AGCAATTTATTGGCATGTGCGAGGAGCCAGAAAAAGCCGAATATAAAGATATTTTGGCAGACAGCCATCCAGAAGCCCATCCACACACATCGCCAAACATTTAAATGTAATTGCAAATATTTAAATATTGAAACATTCCAATTTATAGCCATTGCCCTTGCCATCGGTAATCGAATGGTGATTGGTTATTTCGGAGTGCGTTTCGGATTCATGGGCTCTCATGCAAGGCTCTTAAAAGGCTGGGCCTCCCTTTAATGGCTGCTAAAAAGGCGTTAATTATTTAGCCACATAAATCAGTGGGGGCAACAAATGGATAATTAAATGATGTCAAAAAACAAATAGAAAAACCAGCAATGACATTAAAAGAGGAAATCCGAAATGTGGTTCAGTTTTACCCTTGGAAAACACATCAATCGGTTAGGTTTAGTCTTAAAAGTACAGACATATACATTGAAAGTATCTAGTATCAAAATTACGTTCTATAATGCCTGAAGGATACATAGACCTGCATGTGGATGAGACCACAATCGGCACCACAGTGGGATGGGTGTACTCATCGACGGAATACTATCGTCGTGAGAGCTCCTTGCTGGCCATCTGGGTGGCTCTTGGTATTGCCGTTTTCGTGTTAGTCTTCTGTTTGTGCCTCCTCCTGTTCGTATATCTCGGATGGGGCTGGTGGTGTTGTGCCGATCGTGATGACTGGAACTAAACCCTCTTCTACGATGACAGGCAGCAGCAATTGATTGAAGATTGGCATCAAAATTGATTGTAATAGTGAACGCTAAAAGCATTGCAAGATGCTACAATTTGGAGAGAAAATTGAATATCTGTGGACAGTAAATTAAATTCCGGAGAACTCTCAACATCTAAATTTCCATGGCACATTTTTGTATTTTTGGGGAATAAATGTTCAAGAATTTTCAGTGAGAAAACAAGCTTAAAGGGGCTCGGTCATTTAGAAGGTTCTCTCAATATTGATTCTGCTTTCTGAAGGATGTATTCCTATAGGGCATGAGGCGAAGTATTGTTGGATCTTGTCTGGTCATACTTCTGGGCAAACAAATAAAAATGGTCATGCAATATTAATATTTATGCACAAATATCGAAGCCGAACAAACAATAAACTAGGGGAGGCATCCGTACATGGGAAATGGTCGGATGTGTGGATGGGGGGCAGGGGCGTTGGAGGAGTGCTATATCTAAGTGAAATGCTAAAAGATTGATGACTTTTGGCGCTGGGGCTTGCTCTCATTCTCTCTTTCTCTTTGCCACGTTTATCAGAATTTATGGGAAATCGAGGGCAAGGCAAATGCTGCGCTGCGTATACGCAATGTGTATTTATATTTATGTTTTATGAATCAATGCGAATAGCGAAAGCCAGAGAGAGGAGTCCTGGAGGCAGTAAGAGCAGCACCAGGAGAAAAATGAAACGCGTATAAAAGATGTGCCCACTAAAACAAAAGGATAACAATAACTTGCCACCCAGGATGCGTGAGGATGCGTGACGATGCGTACGACGCAAGGAGAAGCAAATGGCAAGTAGAAGGTCCATTGGGTCGGATTATGAGTGAGAGATTTTTGGGTGTGTGTAAATGGAGGCGGGTAGCGGCCTCCGCATAGAACTCATAAAAATTGCATGAAATTGAGGGAAGAAATTTCAGCCCCATATGTGTGTTTAAGGGAGGGATAATCCATGGGTTCAGTGCCGGACTTTAGGCCCCCATTCCTTGTTCGCTTTATTTGTTTGGCTTTTATGCCAAAAATTATACTATTACAATCAAGTTTACGAGTGCAATTCTTGCCTACTGGTAGCCACTGTATCCGCCACCCTCCTCCATTCCGTTCGTTGAGTGGCAATGAATGCGATGATGGAACATGATCATTGTTCCTTTGGAGGATGCTCCTCTTTTCGTTGATGATGATGATTGGTTGGGGATATACATAAACTAGAGGGAAATATTTAATGTGGGGTAGAGGTATGATATGGAATAGAGGGAGGATAAAGGCGATGAGGTTTCTAGTTTTCTAAGAAAGAACTTCCTAGAGAAAGTTGCCCCCAACTGTTTCTATCTGCTGCAAGGACTTCTTTAAATGTAGAATCCCAAGGATGTGTTCTCTCCACACAAGCAGCCAAAGGCAGACACATAAATTCCACCAAGACATTCAATATATCTTTTTTCTTTTCCTTAGTTTTTTTCTGCATCGCTTTTTGGTTGGTTTTCCCTTTTTTATTGTTTTTGTGATTTTTGTCTGGAAATGTTTTTTATTTGTTTGGTTTACAAATTTGACAACATTTAACGCTCATTGAGCGCATTCCTTGGAAGTATCCTAGGGGGAAATATTATTTATTTTTATTTATTTAAAGATAAATAGATGATGCAGATGCAATGTAAAAAGTCTTTTGCTTAGATTTTTATCGATAAGCTATAGATAAAGATTTATGCGGCATTTTATTGGCAGAGATTGCCCGTCCATGCCACACAAAATTGTATCCAGGACATCCTACTCTGGAGCATCCTGTCGTTGTGGCCTACGCAACAAGCGGCTCATCCTTTGGCACCGCTTACTTGTTTGCCCACAATCCATCCATCCTGCAGCCAGGCTCACGCCATAACCTAATGTGCATGTTGACTTTGTGCATCCGCGCATTTGCTGCCACGCATTTACCACTCCAATTGCCGCTCCGGAGAAGCAGTGCAACAGCAACAGCAGGAGTAACCGCAACAACAACGGCAACATCGACAGGATGCAGGCAGAAGTACGAGGGTGCGGGCGGGTATGGCAACTCTGGAGCAGGCGAGGCTTAAATTGCCAGAGCAAAAAGGGTTGCCACCAACAACAGCGAAACGTGCATTTTATTTTCTCCCGTTTTTTTTGTTTTCTGTTTTTTTTTTTTTGTATGGAAAACATCGACAGGCAGCTCTTTTGACCTCCCACTGCCTTTCACCTTCCACTTTTTCAGCTGCCTGCCCACTCTTCCACCTTTGCCCTTTTCCATTTTTGCCTGCATCAGAGGGGAGTCTCCCCCCTGCTTGGTGGAACAAAACTTTGCACTTTGACATGCAGCCACGTGTGTGCGATGATGCCGTAAAGTGCATGAGCAGAAGGTGTGCATGTGTAGGTGTATATGAATGAATGTTGTGTGTGTGTTTGTGTGTGTAAGTGAGTTTTTTTTTGAGTGTGCGAAGTGAATTGAATGAGCATTCAGTGTTGCCTTCACTGGGGAGGGGAATTGGCTGACAAACATGTTTGATAGCTGACAATTGTCAATCAATAATGGAACATGATTGGTCTAAGAAAGGAATTCTCAGGGAAGTAATCCCCGCCACTGAGTTACGGATGGGGAAAGATATATGAAATTGGGTATTTAGCATTCTGGGGAGATTAAGAAAGAGCATTTGTTGAAATGAATATGATTGAAATACAATTAAAATGGAATTAAATGAAATTTATTAACAATTTGTTTTGTTAACATGGAATTCCATGAATAATTCAAAGAAAAGTACCCTTTAGAAATGAATTATTGTAAAATAAATATTAATTTATCGTAGTCGCGGTTCCCTTCCATTTAACGTACTTACCAGTTGATTGTTTGCCTCCGCGTACGCCCTCTGTGGAGTAATCAGGGCACAAAATACAGTCATTATACTTGAAACCATCCTGTACCACGTTTTGGCACAGTAAACACCCCCAAATAATGCACCCCCACGTGCGCACACTTGAAAAAGGGAATCTTTCTACTCGCATGAATATTTTAAAACTCGCAACGCATTCAAATTATGATAATGATGAGGAAAGGTGAGTGTTTTTTTCTTTTTTGCTCGCATATATGCGTTGAACGAGTGGTTGAATGAGTGTGTGAATATGCAGGGGGCAGTGGGGTGGTTGAATCCTTATGTGTGGGAGTGGATATGGAGCGCTAACGAGCGCAGGTACAGTCTGCTGCTAGCGACCCAGTGAGAGACAGGTCCCCAGATCCCCGCTCGAGGGTCGACCAACGTTCGCCCCGCCACCGACCACTTCAGGAGCATCGCTTACGTTAATGCATTTCATTAATTTTTATACAATTCGAATGGGGATTATGTGTGTGTGTGTGTGTGTGTGTGTGTGGGTGTTTAATGAGCACTTTTGTTGAAGGATTCCGAATGCGCAGGGAGGATCGTTAGAAGTCACTTGATGTGGCAGCAGCATCACCACCCAACCTCAATCGCCTCCCATGAAAGAGTTGCGAGTGCACTCTTGACTTTGAGCGACTTAATTTTAAGCATTCAAGTGGGCATTCAGTTTTCCTGGAACGGACACAATGCTCACTGAATGAGGCAAGAGAAAATAAGGGAAAAATAAAGATTTTTCGGTAGAAATTAATGCCGAAATGTACCCTAAAATAAATTTTGGAATTCTCTTAAAATGCTCTTCCTTTTCTTTTAAACTTTTGACAACTTTTTTATTTGAAATTAAACCGAAAAATAACTTAAACTTTGCCTTTCAACGGAGGCCCAAAGCGGCCATTTTCCCGTGAATTTGTTGATTATTCTGTGTGATGTTTCTACTGGTCGATGGTGAACCCCTTTTTGAAGTAGATCGAAATAGTCGAATGATATTTTGAAGGTTGCCCCAAGTTTCAGACAACTAAAAACATTCCGTAAACCCGACATACAACTCTAAAATTCTATCAATTCTAACAAATTCCAAAATTACTTGCACATAAAATTGGGCCAAGATGTCGGCGGCTGGGAATAATTATGAGCAAGTTATTGCCACGGTGACAGGTAACCTTGTGGAGGCGACTACAAAGAGACATGGCACTGGTAGCATGAGCATTATGGGCATTATGTTCATAGTCATGGCTTCCATATGTTTCCTGCTTGTGTGCATCGTTTGCCTGCCAGCCCTTTGCCTTTATGGCTGTCTCGGCTCCTTGTGCATGGGCTGTGCCGAATGTGGCGAATGTTGCGGCGACTTTGGAGATGGCGACGATGAATGAACATAATGGAACATAAAGGTTCCAAAGCGATTTATTATCATTCTGTTAAATAAAAAGCTATTTTTTATGATGCCCTGGGCTTCTATACGGGTGCCACCACATGTCCCATGAAATAGATATGATTTGCATCCTTGATCGCAAAGATGAACGGATGATTGGCCCAGAATTTGTGGGGTTGCCTGTCCATTTGCTGGTTAACCATCATCAGAGGAGAATATCCGCGGCCCGATTCACTCACCTCAATGGAGCTAAAATGCATAATGGTGCCAATTTTATGGTTTTTATCGCGACTGGCGATAATTTTGTTGAGAACGGGTGCATGGAATATGGTCTTTACGCCCAGGGGTCGCAGTATCGTCTCCAGGGGCAGTCGTGTCTCCACTTGGAACTTCGGTAGCTGCAAATGGACAAACTCTTTGGTGAGGTTCTCTGTGAGCGGCACGAGATCGACATTTCGTATGAGGCTACTGAGGCTGGCCAGACTCTGACCGCGATGGCGGGGCAGAATGATGACCATGGAGAGTTCGCCCTGGTAGGGCAACTCTACGACGTGGGCGTCCATAGAATCGATGCTGCCATAGCGCAGGACATCGTATGTCTCCAGGGTGTCGACCAGCAGCTCTGTGCCATTCAAGGTATAGAAGGGAAGGCGCTTCGTATACTTGGTCTTGGCCCATTGGCCATGGAAGTACGCGGCATTCGCAATGGCCATTTTGGTGTCCTTGTCCAGGAGGCCTGGATGTATGAACTGCTGGATCTTGTTGTCCGTCAGGATGCGCACAAAGGAGTTTATCTCTTCGCTCGCGACATGGGGATCACTGAAATCTACCGTCTTGGCCGGCTTGCCCATGCGATCGTCGTAGATGGCCTCCTGGTAGGCGGGCATCAGCTGGATATTCCGGTCCACATACAAACGATTCACCATCTTGATGACATCCGTGGCCAGATCGCCGTGTCGCATCGTATCCAGCACCTGTGTCAGCTCCGGGCAGTCCCTCATCCCAAAGAAGACCAGACCCAGGGCCATATTTGTGGTGGCTGGCGACAGAACAATGTTCCTATGATGGTTCCCATGGGATGCCTGGCTATACAGCTGACTGGCAAAGTGATTCGAGTGTATGGGTCCCGCCAGGAGCAGGAAAATCCCCAAAAGGGTCGCTGTAGAAGCTACTACTGTTGATTATATATTTTCGAAGAAGATTCCCCCCCAAAACTCACCAAAATTCAGTGGAAAATTCATGTTTATCAAACGAGAAGTTTGTGCTGTAACTGGAGCAAAGATTCGTGCCAAAATGTGTGATAAATGTAAAGCCAATTATCGATAGTTCCAGTTGATAATCAGATTATACACAGTGCTTGTTCCGCATCCCAGCACCACCGCACCTACGAGTACATGCTCTTGTATCCAGTGCAGAAATTTCTGGGAATTTTTTGCAGCTGCTACACAAAGAAAAAAGAGAGAGACAGAGATAGAGACACAAAATATTCGTACACTCGAAAGTTCAAGTCGTAAATGCACTCAGCACTTTGTCAGCTTTCAGACAGGAAATGCAGTTGCAATTTTTCTTTTATCCTTTTGCTTGCCTTAGACGCCACTTCCCTCTCTCCACCTGCAAGAAAATTCCTACTATTCCCAGCAGTCTGCATTTCTCCCGTCCCCCCCCACACACACAAAAAATGCATCAGTTTTAGTTTCAGTTTTAGTTCTCACATGACTACAAGTCTTAGCATGTCCTCTCATGTCTGTTTGTCTTTCTATCTCTCTCTACCTACCTTTCTCTCTCTCTCTTTATTTCTCCCTCTCTGGTTTTCTATCTCTCTCTTTGAGTTTGTTGTTTTGTTTTGTTATCTCAATTTTTGTGCAACGCTTCCATATTCAGTTTCATAATTTTTATCCAAGTTTTCCCATCTCTTTTTTTTTTTTGGACGTGTAGGAGAAGGCATGACAAAGTTTTCATTGCCACCGTCATCATACACGTACGGGCTGCAACACACACACAAAAAAAAGTTTCCCTACTGTCGAGTGCATTAAGGAGCGCGGAGTGTCAACAGAAATTGCATTTGGGAGATGCCCTTTTTAAGAGTATTGAGGGGTGGCGGGGGCCTTGGGTGGGTAAAACCTAAAGGACTTGTGTTTCGTTAGACTTATTGAAATATGATCTGTGTGCCATGGGGAAGAGAGTTTCCAATAGAAGAGAAGTTAAACTCGATAAACCAGTCTAGTTTACATTAAATCTAAGAAAATCGAGAACAAAGAGAGCCAGTAGGAACTCTATATCTCTAGTTACTCTGTTGCCAAGGGAAGGAGCCTTGTGAGTCTTAACCCTTCAATAAAGATCGTTTATCTGCTATCTTTTGCATAAACTTATCAAAATCTTTATTAGAAATATCTGCACACGCCGCTGTCGCAGATGTTTGAGCATGATATAGAGCACTGCTTACATACGATTATACATGATTATATGTTGTACAATAAACATATACATTTCCTTATCAGTAGATAAAATACGAAATAATTTATGGCAGTCCCTCGCCCGTAACCCCTATAACCTACCCAACGTCACATCAAACGCTAATCTCTGAACTTTCCCAACCACTGGATGAATTCCCGCAGCTTCTCGAGTCGTCGGGTGCCGCCGCGTGCCAGGGTACGCTTCCAGCGTCGCTCTATAGCCACGCGATCCTCATTGTCCAGGGTGTCCAGGTGCTTGTGCAGCTTTTTGTTGAGGAATTTCTGCAGCTGGTTCGTCCGCTGTTGGACGGTGCGCTTCCAGCGATCGAAGCCGTTGCGCTGCAGGCACAGGGCAATCAGCTGCGTTTCGATGGTAGACGATCGCAGGGGATCACCGGTGGTGTCCGAGTCGAGGTAGTCCCCCACAACGTCGTAGAAGCTGTTGAGCTTCTCCTGCGTTCGGTTGCCGCTCACCGCCGTGAAGGCATCGAAGCTGTCCAGGTAGCCCATCAGAATGGTGTTCTGTGAGTCCAGGACGAGCAGATCCTCGACCACATTGTCCACCAGTTCCGTGGCCTGGGCGATGATCTGATTGCTGATGGAGGAGAGGGTGCGATCGGTCTGGACGAACAATCGATGGCGATTCAGGTCGCCAGAGCAGCGTATCGCTGGGGTTACTACCAGCTGCAGTGGAGTACAAAAATTATTAGCCAAAGATCATCGGGAGCACAGATTCTATTCTACTTACAAAACACAGAAGGAACACACCCAAAATGTAGGAATCCTGTCTGCTCTTGATCATCTTGCGCGCCCGACGATTGCGAATCTACTGAACGTGAGAGAGAGTGAGAGCTTGCCATAAAAGCAGAGTCGGAAGCAGAGCCAACTTGAAGATAGATAGTCTTATCTCTACGGAGTTTCCATTTTGGATTGGGCCCCTCGTCTGCGTGAATCAATAAATGTATATACATATGTACATATGTATATACCCCTCCTTATGTATGTCTATATAAAGATGACACATGAGGCTGCCATTTCAATGACGTTTCTTGGGTGAAGAACCCTCAGATAAGAGATAAGAGCATTGCCGTGGCTTTAAATCCATGAATGGACACTTGCCTGTGAGGGGGGGCTCTACAAAGATAGAGAACCCATTCTTCTGCTGCCCCAATCTCGGAAAAAGAAACCACCAAGCCAAGCAGTATGGGGTGGGGAACCCTCCCGGGCATCAAAAGCAATCGCCCATCAAATGCCAAGAGGGAAATGTGTGGACCTCGCAGTTGCCCTCGCAACTAATCTGAAACGCTTAGGAGATGAAGGATGACGAACGGAACCATCAGGAAGAGCGCTCGCGAACAAGAGAGAAAAGAAAAACTATTCATTGCGTATACGCCGCTTTATCCGGCTGGAAATAATAATAGGGAAATAAAAGTCCACTTAGTCAGCAGTCGGGATGTAGCAGGAGCAGAGGACTACAGCTGGTCGGTCGGTCATTCATTCCGACTGTGCTTAGACCCTCGGGACAATTGTAGGATATATGTATGTATGTGAGTGTCTCTGTGTGTGGGTGTGTGTGTGATAAATGTCAGAAATGGGTCAGTGGCATACGATGATGACGACTGCAAACCAGAAAATAAAAATTGCCGATTGGCCCGTATCAGAGTTTTATAGTGAATTTCCCCACGCAACTCCCCCTACTACCCTTTTGGGGACTCTGTAAATGGAGCTTTTGAGTGGCCTCCCCCCACCCACGCAAATCTCCAAAGCGCGCTGCAATTTCAACTTTTGATAAGCGAAGTTTAGTGGCGTTTTGGAGAGGGAACCAACACAGAAAAAACGAAACGAAATCCCTGCCTCCCTACCATACGACAATGTTTATTGGCATAGTTTTTGTTTGCCAGAGTTGTGGCGATTTTCAGGGATTTTCATCACATATTGCAGTTTTTTATGCTGAGCTTTTTCCATGGCAACTTTTGAGAGCGGAATTCCGACGGGGCAATGGCTTAATTAGCGATTCATATGTGAGGATTGCGAAGGACAGGAAAATGCTTTCGAGATGCCATTTCAAAAAGATTTTGCGCACATAATCAAAACCCCAACGACTGCGAAACGATTACGTCCATGGGGATAAAGGGGTAGAAAGAAATCGTTGCCTTTAACAGATTCCTGGCCCCAGGATTCCTGTACGAGTGGTATATGTATATAGAGCATGTATATGGCAAAACAATAACCAAACTCTGCCCGGGGGGACCCACGAATGAAGCCTCGGCCCAAGACACAAGTGCTATAAATTGCCAGAACAACGCCTGCTGTTCTGTTCTGCTGTATTCTGCTGCCGCCTCCACTATATATCGTCCTATACCCGAGTATCCTTCCCGTTGCATGCAAATTTCAATAACGCCGCCATCCCTTCTGACACTCTCTTTGGCGGCAACCCTTCCGTCGTTCCATCGTACTTGCCTTCCCTTTTTTTGAGGCAAACTCTGACACTGAATATCAAATATGATTCGGAGCCGGAGCCAAAAATTATTTGCATACTTTTGGGGATGCTTGCCACCGAAACAACACGCAAAGCGAAACAAAAAAAAAAAAAAACGAAACCCAACAAAAAAAAATTAAAACATTCTCTTTTGAGAATCGAAGCATTAAATACTCTATGAATGAAAGAACTTTTAAATTTGCATTCAGAAGAATTTTCAACACAGAAATTATTCAATTTTTAGCTTGAGAGTAATTCCATTCTGGTGATTCTGATTTTCTATAAAGAAAGAACCTGACAAATATATTTTTACTGAGAGAAATGCTATAATTATGTCCTCAGCTATAACTGTTCCAAGACTAAAGCTATAGTCGCGATGTTTAACTCCCAAAAAGGTTAAAGTATATCGAAACCCACAGGAACTGCAAGCAGACTCGCACATGTGGCGCGCTTTTGGTTATAGCAGGGATAGGGGGGGAATAAAAAATCCAGAATACCTAAAACCCGAACGGCAAAGGATACCTCTAACTCTATTCCTTTAGAGAGCCAAAAAAAAAAAGTAAAGAGCGAAGCTTTACATGCTTTTCAGGAGGGTGTAAACAGCAGCAGAAGCAGCAGCAGCAGCAGAAAACCCTTTTTCACCGAAACGAGTTATTTATTGCATTTGCAAATTTTACACAACATTTTGCAGTTACCTCAACATAACTCCTCCTCCTCCCTTGCCAGAAGGTGTATCTGAAGTTTATCGCGGTAGAAATTGATTCAGTTTATATACGTATTTACAGGGGCGTTTTCAGCGCAAGTTCAATGAAGCCAAAAGGTGTGTCTTCCGCGCTCCTTCCTCCTCGGCATTCTGCTGCTGCAACAGACAAAATTGATGTGCAAATATTTTCATAAATTTATATGCCAAAGGCTTCAGGGTGTCATGTTGGAAAACACGAACCAATTTACCAATGAAACTCACTCTCGCACTCACTTTGAGAGTTTTCCCAGATATACATATACATATTTGATTTTTGAGTTGGCAATAAAACAATTTGTTTTTTTTTTTTTGCAATTTTTCAGTGGGAGTGTAAAGTGATTGCGTTCATTCTTGAGGTGGGTTGTAAAATAAAAAACAATTTGGTAACGTTTTCGATGATTGGGCGGTGATTGGTAAGGTCTTAAAAAAATATCTCCAAATACAACAATCCTAAAGGAAAATAGATATATATTATTCCATTGTGAGATACATCCTTTATCTTTAATTTCAACTGATTTTGAGCTCCCATCCTCAAGTTCAAAACCAAAACCACAACTAATTCGTGTGTCCTTCCGTGAGCCACTTATCTGCAGTTATCCTTCTGTTATTCCGTGACTTATGGGGCGTGTCCTGCCAAATAAAAGAAGACCATGGAAGTGGGGGTTGGTCCTGCCACATAAAAGAAGACCAATAAAAAGTGTGGCCAAGATAAGCAAAGTGGCGCAAAAAAAAAAAAAAAAAAACCCAGGAAAAAAAAGACAAAAGGTAAATAGCTGGAAAACAAAACGACAAAGAAAAGCTCTGGCTATGATTTAAGTTTCTTTTTCTACCGTTATCCAAATTGATCAAGATATATAAGCTATATGTCTGGGTTTTGCATGGTGAAGCGGCTAACCGTAACCATAACCTGGTTAAGTGCAGCACCGGCTACCGGCTGTCAAGATAACTTCCCGTACCCCTGGTAAAATGCTAAGTTTCGGATACACTTTAAGCCCTTAATATGTTTAACTTTTGTTTAAGTTAACGGCTCCTCTCTATCCGTTATCCTTTATCCCTTTGGCTGGCTGTAAGATGAATGCGTTTGCTTATCGGCTGAGGAGTGCTGGTCCAGTGGCCAGTGACGCTTCTGGTTTCTGGCTTTCGTTACCCTGTCAAACGGTGTTTTAGTGGCGGACAAGGCTGTGGGTGTGGTTAGGGCAACATCTACGGGGGAGGGGATATGGGATACTGTTGTCTGTCCGATTACATTTTTCCTCTTAACCCAGGCCACTCTCTCTTTAGCCTGCAGGGTGTTGGTCTGTGTCCGCTGTCTGCTGTCCTTTACCCCTCTGGCCATGTGGATATCTTTCAGCTTGACAGCATCTTAGCTAATATAATGCCCAATTTTCTGTGGTTTATGGCTTACGGACAGTCCGTCCAATGCCTGGATGGTTGGTCCATCTAAACAGGGAGTCCAACCGCTGCCGCCGCCGCCGCCACCTCACTCTCACTCTTGGGTTTGTTAAGCTTTCTACGGGAGTTTTCTATCTTGAAGCTTCAAATCCATTGAAAGGTCGTTATTTAAATTGATATAAATGATATGTCCTTGCGTTTTGTTTGGTCTTTGGCTGAAGTTTTCCTTTACTTTACTTTGCGTTGCTTTGCTTTGACAGCAGAACTCCATGGCTACATATAGACGTATGTATGTATGGGATACATGGTAATGTAAGTGAATTTTAAATCGCCATCAAGGCTAAGTGACTTTGATTTATCATAAAACACACACACACACAAGCGTACACGCTGTGTCTGTGTCTTCTGTGTGTCTTTACCATTATTTGAACAATTTGTGGACACAGCTGTTTGGACCCGCATATATGTATGTACATATGTACATACGTCTTCTGAAGCAAAGGCAAACAATTAGCCGTGGATATGTGGCCGGGGTTCTGCATCTTCTTCTACTCTACGTCTATTAAAGATATTTCTGCCACTTGGCCATCTTTTATTTGGCAGTTTGCGCATCTTTTAACAAATTGCAAGACATTAAGTTTTTATGTGCCAGCATATATATCTCTCGGCCATCCGTATCTGTATCTATTTAACGGCCATCCATAACAGAATTTTATTTGGTTTTCGTGGCAATTAAAATGCTGCAGAAATCGTTATTCAGATGGTGGGTGGGGGTGGGGGATGGGGGATGGATATTCCGCATTGGGGTGAATGTATATACATACATACATATACTCGTATGTAGCTGCATTTAATGGTCGGCCACTTGTGCACCCTTAGATTTCGTCAAGCAATTTCCTGCACTTTATGACTTATTGCTACTCCTTGTACTTGCATGATTACTTACGCGCTCGGATCAACATTTTCTCGAGCTAATTAAATGTACACCAGAGTGGATTCGGGATTTTTTTTTATGTGAAAATATTAATTGCTGGCCGTCATTCACACGGCTAACACCCAGCCCTCAGAGACTGGGACTCAGGTGTTCCTGGTATTCCACTCTGCCTCATGGCTCCACAACAAATGCCACACAATTATTCAAACCCACCCACCCCACACACACACACACACATATAAATGTATATTCTGTAGATTGAAAGGGGAGGGGGAGATTTGTGGCACATCTGAGCCGCGACGCGTCGCATTCAGAGTTGAACAACTCAATGAGTGGCACACGGGCAGCAGCGGTAGAGCCAGAGACCCAGTTTTCCAGGAAACTGAGCTTTCAGGCATATTAATTATTTAGAAAGCATTCAGATTTATTTGCTTAATTCGTCAGTCTTTCTCTTACTCTCCCACTCATTGTTAGAGAGGGGCAAGAAAGTACATGGATATCTACCTGATAACCTACACCCATTCGACACTTAAGTTCCACGTTCATCGGAGCTTTGATTCTATTATTTACATATAACTTTTATAGCAAAAAACGGTCGGCAATGTAAGTTTTATAGCCAAATAACTTACTCTTTTCCTGCTGTTAATTGTTTCAACTCTCACTTGTCGATGTGTAAATGTTTTTAGCTGTGACATGTGAGTAGTCACAGCACTAGAACTTACCATGTTGTCCAGCCTTTATTTGAATTCTGTTCTTGCAACCATTCACCGACAATTGACAAACTGGCAAATATTTTACTTACTTTGGTTCACTTCTCCCATCTAAAAATGACTTCCTTACGCTCCTCTGCACCTTCTCCTTTTTGTGTGTGTGTGCCTTTTGTCCTGCTGTAGGCGTTTCGGGTTACTTATGGAGTGGATGTTGAATGTTGTATGGGCGGGAATGAGAAGGTTGTGTGCAGAGCACTTGTTTCGGCACTAGATTTATGCCATTTCTTGTGCGGACACTCCCCAGTGCATGGGGGCATATACGAGTATTTTATTTGTTTTACATGGATTTGTGCCGTAGATTTGTCGTATTTTCTGCTACAAAATGGAGAGGATAAACCGAAAAAGGAGAGCTAAACCAGAAAAAGCATTGGGAGTGAGTTCAGGGTTAGAGAAGGAAGCGAGAGTTAATTTTGGTCAAAATTCTTGATTTATTGTCGCATGGTTTCTCTGTCCCCATTATTTTTTTTTGAGTCGAGTAAAATTCATGGTAATTTTTCATTTCATTTTTATTTGCATCATCATTTTCTTCAGTCTTCGTATAAGAAATAACATTTTTTTTCTGTTTGTTGCTGTTTGTTGTTGTGGGTGTGTCTATTATTTAATTAAATATTTTTGCATATACTCGTATATTTATATGTATAGTATTTAATGTTAGGCTCCAGTTTCCCCTCCCCGTTCTGTTCACACAGTGATTTTTAGTTTATATTTATGTATATTCCATTTTATTTCCGAAAATGCATTTTGGAGTGCATTTAGCTTGTGTCTGCATATATGCCTTTTGATTCTGCCTATTTGGTATATGTATATACTATTTTATTTGATAGATATTTATATTTATTTATACATTTGCTTTTCCCCCCATTTTTGTGTGTGTGTGTGTGTGTGTTTTTATGCAAATTTTGTACGGAATTTGCCGTCTACATATTTGCTATTTAATTAAATTATTATATGCAAAAAACATCAAACGAATGATGGTTTTGATTTGAACAAAAAATATATATTGACAATTTATTGGCAATTTATTGCTGCTTTTTTCTTTTGGGAAAACATCCATAAATTATTTACAATAATATGTGGTGGTATCTGGGGGATCTGAGGGTATCTGGTAGTGGTAGATATTTACAAATTCTTTCAACTTTGAGTTCTGTCTCACTTAGATTACATTTATTCTTTATAGTTATACAGAAAATACATCTAGAATTATCATAATTTATTTATTTTTATGCTTTATGTATTTGTATATTGTCACTTTAGATGTTTCTTTTTGTTGCTGAAGGAAAGTGTTGGGAAAGACACATGGGGAGAGAGAGAGAGAGGGCGAGAGCCGATCTGGCAAATTGGTTTCATTATCAGTTAGTTCTAGAATGGACAGGACTGGACTATTTGGTCCCCATTTGGGTTATTTTCAATGCCACACCGAGATGTTATTTATATCTATGCTCTTTCATTCAGATCCATGCATCCTCTCATGCATCTATTCCCTCAGAGTGGTACAGTTGTGTTTGTTTTTCCTTATTTCCTTATTTCAGCAGAATATTTATCGCTTTCTATAATTTTAAGGTATTATTCCTCAAAATATATTTTAGTTTTAAATCTGCCGACCGTGGGGCGCTGCTGGCACAACTGTAACTGCAGAATAACCTTCTTCAGCTTGTTCATTTACCATTTTACATCTATATATCATTATATATATATGTATATGTTTAAATTCACTTTTAGGGATTTATCCAGCTTATCCACTAAAATGCTATCTAGAGTATGCGAATGCTAAATGCCATTAACTATGAGAGAGGGTTAGCTAGAGAGATAGAGAGCTGAATTGTGTGTGTGAGATTTGAATGGTATTCGTATTCCTTAGTATTCCTTAGTACGAGTATTCCTTATAGCTTATCGATTAGTATGTATATCTTGTATCTTTTTAGTCGTTTGAGTACTCGTATTCATAGACATATCTTATCCCTTGTTTCATTTGACGCTTGTTAAACTTTGTTGCCTTTTTTTTTTTTTGAGAAATTCGAACCGAACCTTAAACAAACCATAACCTCACATTCCCTGTTTCAATGGCATCATCATCATCATCATCATAGGATCCTAGTGATCCACCCTCATTTCAGAACTGGCTCTGCACATAGCTCCTGTAGTTGTTGTTGGTGAGATTGTGGCCCACCATTTCCATTTCCATACCCATTTCCATGCCCGTCTCGACCTGGCCACCACGTCCACGTCATACGTAGACGACATGCGGCTTCCCAGACGATGCCACAGCTGGTGGCACAGGAGATCCGCCAGCTGATGATTTGGACAGAGACGCCGCTTGCTTGAGCTTGCTCATGGTCTGAGTATCGGGATACTCATAGTGATCGAAGCGCTCGTACAGATGCTCCGGCTCGTCATCCGCCTCCTTGACGGGCAGCTCCCAGGGCTTCAGGGCCCTGTACTCGTTGGCAATTGTCTGGGCTGCCAGGTAGCGCTCCAGCTCTAGTTTGTCCAGCTGCGGCAGCGTCGCCTGCTGATATTCATGACCAACCCCATGCCCCCGGCGTTGTGTGCCTGTAGGGGCATCGCCTGGTGGTAGTGATGGTGCGCCTGCAGCGTCTGGGCATTGTGTGGATAATTCATGGCCATGCCCATGCCGCCGTTGCTGCCGCCCAGGGTCATGCTCATGCCCATGCCCATGCCGAGTCCGTTGCCACCCAGCGGCTGGTGGCCCTGCAGGATGCGGTCATGGACATTGATGATGCTCTTGCTGGTGCGCATGGGTCCGCGCTCGTGCAGCAGCTTCCTGCGGCGCTTTACGAAGCGCAGATAGTAGAGGACGCTCACACCGATCATTGCCACCAGGAGGCACGTGATGACGGCACACACCACCGTCACAATGTGGGCGGGGCAGGTGATCTCGCCCTCGCTCATGGACAGCAGCTGACGTCGCGTGCGCACCGTGTCCCGCCAGATGTCGCAGCCGATCTGCTGCCGGTCCATCCGCAGATACCCAGAGTTGCGGTTCGATGACGACGCGGAGGAGGTGGCCAGCTCGTAAGCACTCGGTTCGGTGGTGTGCAGCGCATTGGCAATGTGCTGTTCGGCTATGTAGGCGGCCAAAACGGCCACTCCATCCTCTGCCACGGCCGCAGTGGTGGCATCATCCGCCTCCTGCTCCCCCCCATCGTTGTCCTCCTTGGCCAAGGCGGCCACAGCACCGCCCGCAGCATGCTCTAGCGGTGGATCGATGCCCTCAAAGTTACCGGTAACAAGACGCCAGAGCCACAGCAGCGAGCAGTTGCACTGCAGCGGATTGTCCCCCAAATAGAGCTTCTGCAGCTGATCCACCGGAAACTGGGCGGAGAACAGCGTCTGCAGGCTGTTGCTCTGCATGTAGACCTCCAGAATGTTGGGATTACCCTGGAACAGGCGCATCGGTATGTCGCTCAGCTGCGGATTGTAGTTCAGGTGGAGCGTCTGTAGGTGGGTGTTGTCCACAAAGGCTCTGCAGGTGATACGAAACGGAGAATTGGGGCATTAATTAGAGAATGTTTTCTAAGCCCTCCAAGGGAATATTTGTCTAGTTATTCTACCAGGGTCTTTGGTGGGGGGGAATTAATTATGCATTCAACGTTTAAGCTTAAAACTACAGACACACACAAAGACACACACACACATATATATATATAAATATACTCGGAACAGCATCAGCTCTGCCCTTGTTGCACACATGACAACGTCAGCTTTCGACTTACGAGCTAAGCGACATGGATTTATTTAGCCAGCGTCTATGTATTTTCAACTTAATAAAAAGAAGCAGCAGCATAAGAGAGGAGCGAGCAGCATGCCACATCCAACATCCCAAGGAGCCCAAGAATGAATGAAAGGGCATAAAAAACGAATACGAAGACGAAGACGAAGGCAGGAGAAAAGTCTGCAGTTTTCTCCATGTTATTCGGAGCTCCATAGAGCGTTGTCGTAAATCCCTGCCAAGTTAAGTCAACGCGCTAAGTCGCTGACTTGGGGGGCACAACGAGCAGGAGGGGATGCATGTAGATGTGTGTGTGTGTGTGTGTGTATGTGCAGAGTACAGTGCATTACCACACGACTCGCACTCTTCCATCCCAATCGCAGCCATCGCTTCAGACAGTCTCAGATGTGGAAAGAAATAAGTGCAACGTGGCGTATGAGCAATACTGTGAGGCAAAAAGGATCGGGTCGGGTCGGACGGCGACTCTGACTTCATCCGCTGCTGACACAAAGCGAATTTGTCGCTCTTAAGCGTTCCCTGCTCTACAGGCAACATTTCATTTCAATACTCGAGAGTTGCATTCCATGTTAAATGAACGCATTTATTCCCAGAACCAAGAATCCAGAATCCAGAACCCAGAGCCCAGAGCCAGTTGCTAAAGGATACCCAGAAAGGCAGGGGACGCCTTGCATTGATTTGATAAGTGGCTGCATTTTGTGGAACCCCTTTGGAAATGTCTCCTCCCCACCCAGCAAAGCGCAAAGGGCAGGCATTCAGTCGAGCGAATCTTGTGATGAATTTGAATTGAAATGGCAACGAGAGCTGGAGTCAGCTTCATGCATGAAAACTGTTTGTCATTCATTAGGTTGAATGATGAGGAAGGGAACGGTGGACTTTTCGGTGCGGGACTAACTCCCAGAAGTAATTTTGTGCAATTCATTTGTGTAACAAATAGAACGAAAGAGCTTTCAGTAGAAAGAAGTTTTCTCGAAGACTCAAAGGAGCGCTTTTTTCTCTCAAATGAATGCTATTTATATTTTAATCATTCTAAAAACCAAAAGTAGAGTTTAAATTTATATTTTTACTATTTTATACGATCCTTAAGGTGGATTCTTGTCTGTATTGCTAGCTTAACACGAGGCACACACATGATTCACCGACTACTTAACTCGAACACCCTTCATTTTCCACCTCTATTCCTTCTAGTTTTCCACCTTTCGAACATTCAATTTCATGGCAAGTTTAACATTTATCCTAAATACGGGAAAAACTTCAATTGCAGGCCACAAACAAACACACACAATAAAAGAACCGTAAAGAAAACTTTCTATTACCGCAAAAAAAGCACACAAAAGTCGTGTCTGCATGCGACACACGAGTGTGTGAGTATATCCCAAAACAATTTAGCGGTTAAGCCGAACCGAACCAAAAAAAGCCAAAAAAATAAATTCAATTATTTGTGCAAATATTATGCAAATATCCTTGGTGCAGAGGAGAGAGGCAAAAATCAACAGAAAAACGTGACACTGAAGGCAGCACCACGGGAATGGATTCCTCCAGACACCTCGAAGAAAAAGTTTTTTTTTTGTGGTGGTGGTGGTGGGAGGCAAACGCTCTACAGGTTGATTTACCTACCCCATGGACCTGTTGTTGGGTGGCGGCTATTCGTTTGCTTTAAAATGCAACTGCCTGACAAAAGCACGTGACAAGGCAAACAAACAGGCAACAGAGGTAGGCGGTCGGGGTTGCATTTTGGGTACCAACCTTTTTGCTGTTTTTGGGCTGTGCTTTCAGCCATCATTCAGACTTCATTTAGCATGTTTCATGTTTCTGACTCGCGTTTTTGGGCTCTGCCTACTTTTGTGTACCCTTTTGCAGCGTGTATAATGACAATGAAGGAGAGAAAGCACCGAACCTTCCTGTTAGAGTATTTCCCAGGATATCGGCAGTCTGATGGTTCCCTTCCCTTTTTTTGTTTTCGCTTCTATTTTATTCTTTTTGATTCTTTTGTATTTTCTTTTTAACTCCCTTTTTTGTTTTCATTTGCCAACGTCAAACGTGCGGAAACGGAAATGGCTGTCATGTGTGTGTGTGTGTGAGGCATAAATGTTTGCCTGATTCGGTATCGTTCTTTTTTAGTTTGGCTGGTTTTTTTGGCCTGCTCGATGGAGGGGGGCTACTCATATGCAAATTGTTCACTCCCCCCCTTTGCTTATTCCACCGACTCTGTGGGTGAATCTGAATTGGAATTGCTCGAAATCCGATTGAAATGTTTGCTGTCCGTATGCACTCTCTCTTCTGTTGGGTGGCAGAGTCACGATTTTGCAGGACTCCAGAAACCATCAGAGTTCACTCACATCATCAACAAGATGGTTGGATGGATGGATGGATGGATGGATAGATGGATGGTTGTGCTGTCTGAATGTCTGGCTGCTTGGACAGTCAATCAGTCAGACTGTCAAACAGTTTGTCAGTCGCTATTTGATATAGTTTTGAATGCCAGTCAATCCTGTCTGAATCCTCGCAGTCTCCTACCTCCCATCCTCCGCTATAAACCGCTGCTCGTCTCTTCCTCTATACTGCGCTCTCTATTCATTTTATTGACATTTTAACCACAACAAAATATGATGGGATATCCTCTATGCGGATGGGTTAACTGATTCCCAGTCTCCACTCAGCTCTGATTTGATGGGATTTACCTCTTAAACTGGGCTGTAGAACTAGGCTTTACTTCTGAAATAAAGTCTGGTGCTGGAATTGAGTTGAATTCCTCTGGGTCCGGGCTGGGTGTTTAAGCTCTACAATGGACTCTGGTGCCGGAGTTCAATGTGCTCCTGGCCTAATACTCAACCTCTGGAGGACCGGAACTCCGGAACTCTCCATGTCGGATTGGCCGGCAATCGACAAATTATCAAGTGTTGTGGCCTCTACAATTTGTTAATGATATTTTAAACGTTTTAAAATTACGCATACGCCCCATTAAACCATTCATTTTACAACTATACGGTAGTCGGGTGGGCGTTACCACGAGACCTACGACTAGGAGAATGCATAGAAATGTACGTAAGTTTTCCTGGCGAGCCATTTCCCTTTCGCCCATTTAATTTCACATAATTATAGATTAAACATGGACAAATAACAACAGAGGAGGCAATAGGGAAATATGGCAAATGTTATGAAAGGAAAGATCATGGAAAATCGATTGAAAATTGCATGAGAAATACTTGAAGAAAATTATAGCTTTTCAATGGAATTAGTACAACGTTTTTCCTTCCGTTAAAACTACGGAAAATGGGATTTTATTTCAATTGTAAATTTAATAATTTAAAAACTTTTTGTACTGCTCTTTCAAGTGTATCTCTGGCTGTTAATGCTGGCAATTTTCTTGCTTATTTTTTTGTACGATTTAACCATTTTTTATTTGTAGCTAATTATGTTGACATAAACACAACTACAAATTATGTATGGCGTGGCGAGCTAATTATATATACATACGTACATATGACATCCTTTCTGTCACATAACCAGGATAGTATAATGGCTCTTGGCCCCTCGCATTCAATGGCTGCGGGAGAGTACACAGCCATTGAATGCCGGCTGAGACTCTCCACGGAGTCAATGACTGCCATTCACAGGAGGGAGACCAGTGCAAAGTTTTTCGCCATTGTGTGTGTTTTTTTTTCTGCTCTAATTAAATGAAAATGTTGACAAGAAAGTGTGTCTGCTTAATGAGACAACAAAAGCGTTGCTGGAGTTTTAATAAACAACAGTTTAATTCACATTAAACAAAGAGCCCAGAGTCAAAAGGTTAGAAGACCTTAGGAGCCCATCAAACCCTGTGGAACCCTTTCTTGGCATTATTTGTGCTTATTTTTCAGCTGCAATGCAGAATATTCCAAGCGAGAATATGCGAGGTGCCTTGGAAAAATAACAAAAGAAGCGTAATGTTCGGATGAAAAACCGTTGGATACCCTTACAGCTGAATAATTTCCATAGTACTACTCTATGATTCCGATTTGGATTATTTATAGCCTGAAGCCACATTTGTGAGCTTAAATGGATTTGGTTTTTTTTCCTTTTAAATTATACCTATTTCTATGGCACTCATCGAGTTGTGACTTTATAAGGTTTCTTTCGCTGCATTTCAATCCCTTCTACAAAAGGGTATAAACAATGCAGGCAGCACGAAACAAAATATAAATAAACGTAAGCAGGAAGAAATTACGGAAACAGGAAAACATAAACAAGTTGGCCCTGGCTCTGGCCCTGTCCCCCCTTCTCATCAACAACAGTGTCGACTGTTGCCATATTTTTCCATAAATTATGAGCTGGGAAATATTTCAAGCAGAGCAGCAGCAGGAGCAGGAATACATGACTTTGGGGAAGGGAAGGAAGGGTCCTGCCTGAGTGGTGGAGTAGCCATTAGGCGTATTTACCAGAAGGAGCTACGCAACAGGCACTGCTGCATGGTGCAGGTCTTAATCTGTCTATTTATGCATATGCATGTATACAGAGTCCACCTTCCTGCAATGCACTTGAATTTGCCTAGAAGTAAGACCCTGGGTAGGTGGGAGACGTACCTCGTAGGAGGTAGTAGTAGAGTTAATGAGAGTGGAATTTAAGTAAAGCCGTACCTTGAGGCAGCAGCCACTGCAGCAGGAGCAGCAAAGAATCCAAGGATAAGCCAAAGCCGTGGTGGAATTATATGAATGGTGGGACCCTGTTGCCTCCTAATTAGGTCTCGCGTTATATTTCTTTTCATTCTCATTTAAGTGAATCCTTGAGATGAATGTAAATTACCAGAGCAATGGTACAGGGGCTTACCTTTTCCTTGAACGGCTTACTGGCATGATGTGTGGATTGACGTGGGAAAAAAAACTGCATAAACTGGCTTGAGTTCATACTAGTCCAATCATCATGTTGTTTTTCTTCAAATATAAACCCTTCAAACACTTCATATTCCACCCATTACCGGAGCACACACACACACACAGTCCATTAGGCATGAATTCAATTCTCAATTGTCGCATTCAACTCTCATTCAGTGCCGGAACGCGCCATGGCTCCAGCCTTTCGCCTCTCGCCTCCCGCCTCCACGCTGTTGTGGGATCTCTGGGCTCCATTATAATTCAGGGCCAAGTCAACCCCAAAAAGCAGCCACAAAACAAATGATGTCACACATGCCTCACTTTCGCTCTCTGTCTCTCTGCCTCTCTCCAGTTGTGTCCTTCCGTTGTGCATAAATTTTCAAACAATTAGTTTCAATTTTGTAAATCCGCAACCAAATAAACCGGGCAACACCTACACGTACCACATGTGAGGAAGGATCGGTGGTACAGGCAGAGGTCGGAGCCATGGCCCATGCGTTGGCCATGGGGGAATCCTTTTGCCGGAATGACTTTCCGCCATTAAGTCATGTTCACTTGATATTCCCTTTGATATGACACCTCCTTTTTCACTCCAAAAATCGGAATAATACCATATCCATGGGCTCCCTGTTCCCTTCGCTGTTGCGGTGAAGGGTTGTTTGTTTACCACACCCACAGGGTGGTTGGTGGGGGCGAGTGGCAGATGACAACGTGCTGCTGCCTAATGAATTTTGCAATGGACTCGCGCTGATTGTTTAGGTGTAAGGATTTCATAATGAGCAGCCACTGGTGGCAGGAGCACATGTGTGTGTCTGAGGGAAATTTATCCTTGCGCCCCATAAACGTATGACTATCAACGTGTCCTCATCGCGCGTACATGCGAGTACCCTTCGCTTCTACTCCTCGTACTCCTCCTCCTTTTTCTCCTCTTGGAACCCACTGAAACCATTCCACCTTTCAGATTTCCATTAACGCATTTGCATAAATATTTACATGTCTCTCTCTTTGGGGGTTCTTCTTGCTGTCTCCCTCTCCCTCGAACTCTCTGTCTGTTGGTGGGGGGGTTCTTCTCCCTCTCTAAATCTCAACTTTAAAGTGTTTTGCTATTTCCGTTAAAGGGGATGATACGGGGTGAGTAATGGGAGGGGAGAGTATGGACCTTGTGTTCGTAACAAGGTAACAATTTGTTTGGCAACCCCTTTTATTTTTCCATACTTTCAGTTTTAGTACCCTCTAAAGAGACTATTTAAAGGAATTCAAATGAAAGAAATACTTTAGCATGTAGCCATTTTCCAGGGTACCTTATGTCTTGAATATCAAAGCTAAATGGTGTCCATTTTGTTGTGTTGCTTTTGGCAAATGAATTTCCCATCAAGTGCTGCCATGAACTTCTCCATTTTGTCGCAGTCAGACCATAAAGTTTTCCCCCACAAATGGAAAAGATAAAAATATGTACAAATATATTTCCTGCTAAAAAACAGATTTTCCTGCAGGAAAGTTGTGCATTAAAGCGCTGGCATTTGTTCTCGATATAATGCTGTATTACTTCCCACTACAAACTACAAAAAGCTGCATTATTTGTAGCCATAAAGTTACGTATTTTGAAACACCCAAAAATATGCAATAAAATTGTGAACAGGAATATCTCTTTATGAAATTTCTCTTCCAGAGGGTACAAATTCGAAATTGCCACCCAAAATTAGCATAAAGCGGAAAAATCCAACAGATTTGAGTTCCATTTAGACAATTTCGTTGGAGGACAAAAATACACAGAATTTAGTTTGCAAATCACTCAAAACAGAAATGCAGGCTCATGTGCGCGTGTGTGTGTGTGCAGTATCTGTGTGTCCTTACATATGTAAATGACTGCCTAGATTGAGCAACAATTTCAACAGTCTGGCGGCAACAATGTGGAGCAAGGATGAGCATGGGACGCAAAAGTTTACACAATTCTGAGACAGAGACCAAACAAAAGCCAAACAAAAGGCAAAAGCAATTACAAAGGCAGGGTAACAGAGAGGGTTGTTGGTTGTTTAATGTGTGGGTGTGCAGATACAAGCAGTGTATTTTTGTGTGTGTGTGTGTGTGTGTGTCTGGGATTTGCTTTAGACAAACTTGTTCCAAGAAAATCAAACGAAATTTTCAAATTAAAATGATTTAAATGGCATACGAATATAGACGGCACTTTCTTGTCTCTCTCTGTCTCTTTCTCTCTGTTTTATACACTCGTGCTTTCCCTTTCCCTCATGTGTCATGTAAGCCATGTTAATGTCATTGTAAAGCGGCATGTCGCACAGTAGGCGTGGCAGTCTCGATGCTGCCTGCCTCTGCCAGTGCCACTGTTGTTCGTGCTGGTGCTGGCTGATTGACATGCCACAAGAAGGGCCACAAGAAGGTGGAGGTGTGAAGGAATCGTTGAATGATTTGATATGAAAATTGCCTGGAATTATTGAATTAACATATGCTCGAATGGAGTTCAAGCATTTTCCCCCAACAGCCACCCAACTCTACTCCCCCCCGCTCTGACGTGTCTGGCTGCTGTGTGTGCTGGCTGTCTGCTGTGTGTGCTGTGTGTGGTGGCATCTTATTACCAAAAGCGTATTAGCCATGATTGATTGCATTCAGCTATAATGACTTGTTGTTGTCCTTGTTCTGCATCTGAGGCAAGTTCTCAGTGTGTATGTGTGGTGTGTGTGTGGGGGGTGTGGAGGTCACGTTCATGTGTGTGAAAGTGAATTTCCACTCCCTGATTAGACCCTCAATTCTAAAGAGTATTTTACCGAGCAATTTCCAATTGCTTTGAATTGAAGTTTGCTGAAATTTTGCACACATTTGTGGCTACTATAAGCTTTAATGATTAACAAGTCGTTTGCGAGGAACAATAAGGCTTTAGAAATCCAATTGAATAATGATGAACAGCATGAATATGCCATTTATTTTGAGTAAATCGATCAACATAAGAGCTGCTTAAAATTAAAATTAAATTTTAATTTCGCCTTTTATTATTTCGTGTTTGAGTGCTTAAAGGCTTACGGATTGTATTAGGCAAACTTAATCCTTTTGCATGTCCGAATCACCTGCTGTTCCTTTTTAAACTGAGTTTTCCATGCCCCCAAAAAACATCTTAAATTTGTAATGCAACCCCCAAAACAATCGCAAGTGTTGAACAAACGCTCTTCTAAACTTTTTTTCGCTGGTCTTGTTTATGGCTACTCTGGACGAAAACAAATAGTTTCATTTTCCGCTGACCCACTTTCAATTGTGTTGTTCTATGGTCGGTCCTATTGACTCTTTTTAAGAGCCCTGGTCAGGGTAAACTTTTTTGTAGAACTTACCTCGAATCGATGCGCTGCAAATAGTCGAGGCGGCTCAAGTGCAATTCGCGTAAATGAAACAGGTTGAGGAATGCAACGGCGGGCAGTTGGGCAAAGCGATTGCCTCCCAGGTTCAAATAGGTGAGATTCGAAAGTTTCGCCAGCTGCTGGGTGGGCACCATCTGCAATGAAAAATAAAAAATAGAGATAGAGAACAGAGCGAGTGTTTTATTTAGAGAGCATTTAAACAAAACAAAACAAAAAAGAGTTCAAAAATGAAAAGGAAACTTCTTCGTTTTGGAGAAGGGTCCATCAAATATTAATGCCGGCCACTCCGCTCTAAAAACGTTTTGTGGTTCTGCACTTTACAGATGGTTTAGAGTCCATCCAAAAAACAAGAGAGCAAAGAGTACAGTAACAACGAAAAGCAAGAGAGGAGAGTGCTTGATTGAAGAGCTGAAATATTTGATACCCTTAAGCTGTTGAATGATTTGATGTAATAGTAATTGAAACACAAGGTTCTACAGCTCGTTGGGTAATATTTTCAAACATTTTGTTCTATGGAAACTGTTTCATATCGACATAATTTTGTAATGGTTATTTCTTAAATACACCAGGCATAAAAAAACTTACAAAACCTACAAACACTCGTAATACCCTTCGCCAGGGTATAACAAGCAGACAATCAATACGAAAGCGTTGCTTAAGCGACTGCAGCGGAAACGGAAACGTACGTCATGTACTTACCCCCAGCCACCATATTTGCCAGATTGCGGACCCTCCCCCAGCCCGCTTACCAATCACTCGCTGTTTTCCGTTTTTTTCTTTTTGACCAACAAATTCGTCTCGCGTTTTTTTTTTAGGGCAGGCAATAAAATCAATCTTGCAACGAATTTGTTACAACAACTAAGACAGCTTCGAGTGTGGCATGCATAAAAGAAAAGGTTCCCCTCTGGTGGAGCGGAAGGGGTGCAAAAGCTTTTGGCTGTAATTTTGGCCAACCGAGTTGGGTTCAACCTTTCCTCTGCTTGCTGCCCTCAGCTCCACCCCTATCACTCTCCCTATCCCTCTCTCTTTCTCTCTCTGTTGGCGTGTCGGAAGCTACGTGCCCGGCGTCCGGACACGAATACACTACGCGATAACGTAATGAACATCATGGGGAAGGGGAATAACACAGAGACGGTCGAGTCGGGAAGCAGAGTTGGGGCAAAGAGTGCTGCCCCAAAAGTGTGTGCGTGTGTGTGTGGCAAATGAATTCAAATGCTGCGTTGGCCAACAAAGGTCTCTCATAAGGCAATGAAAATGGTTGAAAATTAAAAGGCATTACCCATACGCGATGTAGGCCAAGCGGGGCAATTGTTTAACCAAATGGCAACACATTTTTCCCTGCACCCCCACAATTTCCCTTCATTTTCACTTTCCCTTTTCCTTTCATACTCTTTCTCTCTTTTTCCCTATGTTGATGTTTGTGCTGCACTCAAAGGAAAAGCGACGACTAATTAAAAGCCTTTTGCCCCTTGTCCGTTTTTTTCGTTTTCCCCCTATTTTCCTCTACTGAAGGCAGCGCACCGTGAAAAAAAACTTATGGGTGGGTGGCGGTTGGGGCAGTAAGTAGAAGAGTTCAGGGAGGCACCCACAAGTCCAAGTGCCACCGACGAAAGTGAAAATTATATTGACTTTGATTTTTCGCATTAATTTCCATTTTTATGGCCAACCCTCAATTTTCTCTCTCTGCTTTCGGAATGGCTGAATTACGAGAAAACAAACGAAAGAAAGAGTGTGAAAAATGTGAAAATTAAAGCTAATTGCTGGGAAATAAATATCTTTAAAGAGATTTCTGAATGGAAATGAATGAAATCTATTGAATGAGTGAAAATTTACTCGTGTTTAAAGGGAATAAATCACATATATCGTTCAAGGAAGTTTCCTATGCTAGAAAAAGGTAATCCTCAGGCACTATTCGTTGATTAAACACTGTACCAGTTGCAATCCTACTCTTCATCCATTTGATGGACATCAATGCCACATGGCAAAAATCTCAGCAGCTCTAAGAGAATCCTGCAACAAATATATGTAATAAATTTACCAGTAAAATGATTTTGCTGTTGTGCAACGATACGCAAAATTAATGCAACAACATGAAACATAAAACTATAGTCAAAAAAAAAAGAGGTAGGTATATAAACTGCAAGTAAATAAATAACTAATATGCAGATGCACAGTAAAAACAGTAAATTGCTTTCTATAAAAACTTTCCTTTCCCCGCATATGAATTTTGCAACAACTACTATTCGTATTTTAGCAATTATTTTTGATCCAAAAGTTGAGTGCCCTAATGTCTACATTTATACATATGCATGTATGTATGTACATATATGCATTTGTGCACTTTGATGGAAATTTAAAGCATACGCATATTACACTCTCTAGCCCTGCCACTCCCATGTGGAGAGTAAATATTTGTGTTGAATTATGGAAAATGCAAAATTGTGCATAAATAATGTTGCAGCAATTGTTTGAAGCATGTGTTCAACGAAAACTCAACGAAATAATCAGTCAATTGTGCGAATTAGTTACTTTTGATATTTATTCAGAGTTTTTCCTACTCTCTAAAATGTAAAATCGAGTTGAATTAAACGGGGTGTATGCAATAAAGTTGATTGCTTGATGATTTTATTGGGAATATCAACAGAGAAAAGGTTGTAACGATTTATAATCGATAGAAATCATTGAATAAATGTTTCCCACTACGATTTCCGTTACGGTGTCATTATTGTAAGCCCAATTTAAACCCATTGTTAATTGGTTAAATATAAACTAATGTATCGATAGAAAAATAAAGGAAACATATAATTTTTGATGAAAATACCTTCGATTGAAGTTGCTGTAAATTCAAGCCAGCACTTCATAAATCATATTCATGCCTCCCGCATGCCTCCCGTTTGCCCTGTGTGTGGTTGCAGACGCAGACATAATGCCATTGCAGCATAGGTATCGTGTTGCCGCCCAGAATCCCTGAATCCCTTGCCACGTTGGCCAGAAGAAAACTATGCAGATGCAGACAACAATTTCATGCACTAGCCGCATGCCAACGGAACTTCAGAGGAGGTGTAGCAGAAGGAGCTCACTGAAGTAGAGGGTGGGAGAGTGGGTAGTGGGTAACCATGTGCATAATAAAACAACAATCTGTCCAATAGGAAAAAGAATGCTATTTGAGAATACCGAAACGGGTTTGCCAAAGAGCTCTAACCGGAGTATCCAGCAGAGGAGTCCTCTTTTCCTCAAGGATATGGAGATGGGGGCCGGCCGTGGGCAGGGCATAACCATACCATCTTTCAGCTACAAAATGCCAAAAGGTATTTTAAGTAGTTTCGAACTGATTCCGAGCGCCATAAATTCCAGCTACGTTGACTACGCGCGGCTGCTCCTGGTTACTGGTCCTGTTTCTGCTGTTGCACCTGCTTAGGATCCAGACAGTAAGCAGCAGGACTACACACAGGACTACACTCCTACGACCACTCCTATCCCCTTCTAACGACCATAACTAGGATACTCACGTCAGTGAAGAGAGGGGCAGAGGATATGGCCAGGGATTGCATCCATCAGTTTGCAAAAACAGGACATGAACGTGAACGAGGCTGTTGTTGCTGCTGCTGCTGTTGCTACGCTGTTGCAACTACATCCTGGCCGTATACACAGTCTGTGATTGCGCAAAACGACGCATTTCTTGCCAGTCTACGTTCCCCTTTACCATCTCTCCGTCTGTCTCTGCTGGACATTTCATGGCATTTCGTCTTTGAGCAAAGGATTTACAAAACTCAACTGCAAATCCTAGAAAGTCCAGCCCGGTAACCTAATATGGCCCTAATGATTTGGTTTGTGCCAACTTTAAGACGAATGCCACGCCAGAAAATCCGCCTTGGGTTTTCAATGAGCTTTGACTTTGATTAAGTGCGGGTATGGGATCAAAATTTTATTGGTAACACGTTCAGTGGTCTTTAATTTGAGCCTAGAATTAGAAACCAGCTTCAGCTGGCCTTTTAAGGAGCTGCCATCAGCCAAACGAATTAAGGTTTTCTTTGAAATTTCCTTTTGATTTATGTGAACTTCTTAAAGGCAGAACTTTTCAGATGGTTTTCCAGCTCATATAGAAAATTGTCTGCCTGTTAGATTGATTGAAGCAGCTTTAAGTTTGCCCCGTGGCAAGGATATACATGCATAACTCTTGCAGAGACACAGCTAGAAGGAGGAGAAAGGCAGCTTCAAAGAAGAGGCAACATTTAACAGAAAATCCGGAGGCCGAGGGCCTAAGCAAAGAAGAGGCATGGAGCAGAAATGAGGCCCGGCACTGGCACCGTGCTGGACATGTTTGCATGCATAAATAGCAGGAAAGGACATGGCTATAGGGCCAGAAAGGACTCTCTGCGAAAGGGTGTGTGTGTGTGTGTGTATGGGCAGGCAACAACAAGTTATGGTTATTAATTGTGCGTATGCAAAATGCAGCAAAACCCCACGAAGGGCAAACTTAAGCGAAAGAGGAGGAGGATTTCCCCATACCCCACATTAAATCCGCTTTGGCAAAGTGTTGGTCACAGGATTTGGTCCTGACAGAGTGTCTAAATTTATGAGGCAAGCGATAGAACTGCCTCATCCCCCGCCCACAGCGTTTGTGGCATGTTTTGTGTGGCATGTATAAAGTTCACTCACCGTGAGATTATTATCGGCCAGATCCAAATGCTTGAGCGAGATGAGTCCCTCGAAGGCGCTCGCATCCAGCTCGCTCATCACATTCCCCCTGAGACTGAGGGCCAGCAGCTCCTTCAGCCCTTCAAAGCTGTCATTGCGCACAAACTCCACCAGATTGTCGGACATGTCCAGGCTCTTGAGGGCATGCAGATGCCACAGATTGCTGGCCGGCACATCAAGCAGGCGATTGTTGCGAAACACAAGCACCTCCAGCGTGGACATGCCCTTGAAGCAGTTATCCTCGAGACTCACAATATTATTGTTGGTGAGATCCAGCTCCACCAGAGACGCCAGATCGCTGAGGGCTGTCGGATGCACCGTCTCGATGCGGTTGTAGCTGAGGTCGAGCAACAGCAGATTGGTCAATCCCTTGAAGGCGTGCTTGTGCAGGGAGCTCACAAGATTGCTGCTGAGGTTAAGCGTTCGCAGCTCCGATTGGTATTCAAAATTCTTGGAGCCCAGCGTCTCGATTATGTTCTGCGATAGATCGAGTATCTCCAGCTTCATGTAGAACGGCAGCGAGAACTCAAGGTTGCGTATCCGATTCAGCGTCAGATTGATATACTTTGTCTCGGGATTCAGCTGGATGGGCACATCCTCGAGGGCGGCATCCACGCACAAGGCCCTGCTATTGGCCTCACCGCCCAAACACTGGCATTTGGAGGGGCAGAAGGCCCGTATGGGTTGTGGCAGGACCAGCACTACAACAAGTAGCAGCCCAAGCGGCCCAGGAATTCCACTCAGCCAGGGTCTACTCCTTCGTGTTGCTGTGGTTGCTGCGGTTGCTGTTGCTGCGGTGGTTTGTGTGTGGCCAGCCATTTTGTGTGCGGCTGCTATCAGATGCTGCTGCTGCTGCTTCCGGTTCGTGGGTTCAATAATTATTTGCTGTCCTGTGTGCGGCGAGTGCGGAGTTACCACCAATTATTGCACATCTTGGCTACTTAGGGGGTTTCTGCAATGAAAGGGAAACGCACAAAGGGCGCTGTGGTTAGTGACTTTAATTATACTGCAATTTTCAAACTCTTAAAAACTTTCATACTCTTCTCTCTAACACACACAATAGTTTTTGCATTCTCTTGAAAATTAACGTATATTTTAATGAAGATACTCCGGTGTGCTCCAGCGGGATATTATCTAGATATTTAACAGACTCGACAACCGACAACCGCTCGCACTTTTCACACCTTTTTTTTCGGGTCTTCATTGTTGAATTTGGTAAAAAAAACTTTTGCGGCAAATAAAGGCTGGCAAGGAGAGGCGTAGAGGTAGAGGTAGAGACATTGGCCTCGCCGCTACGACATTGCCAAGATTTATGTGCATAAGTTGGTGGCTAATATTTCATAAAAGTCGAGACGCAGACAGAGCCAGAAAACTGAGAAGAGAACTAAAGAGAGAGTGAGAGAGTGTGCGAGAATTGGAGCCTGTCGAGAAGTGTAGAGAGAACTGGAGCCACAGAAGGAAAAGCGAGAATGTCGGTTCAGTTTAGGTCGGGATAACTTCTTCGTTTTCTTCTTTTTCTTTTTTTTTATTTGGATTTTGTATGCTGACAACTTTGCATTTTGAAAGTTGCTGAGTTGCCAGCCAGTCGGCGGTGCGCAGCGGACCGGAGTCGAGGGGTGGCATCTAGGCCCAGTCTGCTGCATTTTATGGTTTATAAGTTTTGCATAATGCAGTCCATCCAGACCGCCTAATAGTTATGGCCATGATGAGCTCTGTCCGCAGTGCCCACCCAATAGAAGTTGAAGGCAGAGGCTTTCTCGAATAGAATTTAAAATGCATATTCATGAAGCCAAAAAAAAACCGAAGCCTATTCCAAAAATTTGAATGCAAATAAGGGAAAATTCTCCTGCACACAGTTTTTTGAACTTTTGACTCGCATTTGGATTTACTTGAATCACTTAAATATGTATTTAGCCAGAGGTAAATACTCAATTAAGTAATTAACTGATTACTTGTGGAGTTTGGCATGTGGCATGTGGCATGGGGCATGGGTTTGTGTGTGTCTGCACCATTCAATTCTGTTTGTCTCTTCGGTGGCTGTTGGACTACTGATTTGCATACAAAAGCACACAAACAATGGGGGTGCCACAAGAAGTCCCCTAATCTACCCTCGATTGCTGCCCCGCCTCTCTTCAAACATGCCTTTGTGTGTGTGTGTGTCTGTGGCCACTGAACAATGGCCTTAACTAGCTGTAAAACAAATAATAAAGAGCAAAACGCTAACTTTAGAGGTTTCATAATGTCAACAAAAGTTGAAAGCTCACACAGAGAAAGGCACTCCATCGCTACCATCTCTCTCTCTCCTGCTGTACCCCTCTCTTTCATTCAGGTTGTGATTGTGGTTCAAATTTTACGTTTGAATAAAATTGTTAAAAAAAAGGATCCTCCCTCGCTCTTGCTTTTTCTCTCTGCCCCTTTGCTGCTTCTCTTTTGGCAAAGTAGAAAAAAAAAGTGAAAATTGTGAAAAATTCACTCCGGTGTGAATTATTAAGTTTCACAAGGCAGTTCTCTCTCTCTCTCTTTGATACCCTTTTATGCCACGGGAATATAGAGATTTTGATTAAGATACAGTTGGTCCCTCTATTTTCTCTCATTTCTTAAGCCATCATCGATAGATCAATGACCTTGGATCGGAATATATTATATTTTATTGTTCGATCCATCTTCAAGGGTATCCGCAAAGAGTTTTATGCTTTATTTTTGCACCCACTAAAGGATATATGGCTCTGTATGTGTGTGTTTGTGTTTGTTTGTGCAAAAGGCAAAAGGAAAGTTTTTAATAAACTTTCGCACGGAAAGCAAACTCAACTTTGGTTCGTTTTTTGCACCCCCAGCCCACCGACAGCCGCTGCCGCGTCTTCCACCAAATTGTTTGTCGGCTGTGACCGAAACGGTAGAGAGAGGCCTATAAGTGGAACGGCGCGGGGAGGGGGTGGTGCGGGTTGTGGAACATACACACTCACACACACACACACAAATATGATTTCATTGTGGCAAATATTTTGAAAGCAAACTTGCAACCCAAAGAGTGGTGAGTGGCTGGTGGGTGGGGAGTGCAGATTGAAGCCAGTTGATTGTTGGGCCATGGGGTGGGATGTAGTGTGGTTCTAGGTCTGGGCGGTCCTATGCCAAAGGCCAACAAGTTAAAAGTTGTTGCTTGCACTTTTGGATGCTCTCTTTCACTCATAAAGAGGTGGTGTGTAGTGTGGGGAGTGGGAGTGGCTGCGCTTAATGGGTTAATTCAATGAAAGCAAAACTTTAAATGGCATCAAAAGAGGTGATGTGGGTAGGATCGGTGATTGGTAGCACTATCAAAGACAGAATTATTGAAGAGTGTCATTTATCGACCCTTAAATAGAGCTTTGAGCTTGGACTTTGGCCTTTTCATAGATCAGAATAAATTTGACAGAAGTTTTCATGGCTGTAAGAATCTCAATATCTTCAACTTTCTCACAATATCTCTTGATATTCCCCACAAGATCTATCTTCGTCTAGCTTCATCTTGCTCAAGTTCTTAAGAAAATCTTTAATAAGATTACAGCTTTAAGCCTATTTTAATATTGGATTTCTTTGGAACTTCCTCATTTCATTTGGGCATATTTCGCTCCTATTTCCTGCTTCCTCTTCGTGCTTTTCTCTCCCTTGCCATCATATTCATTCGCTTTATGACTGAAGCTAAACCAAAAAATCCAATCAACATACACACACATACATACACACCCAGATTCCCCCCAGACAGCAGCATCAGGTCTCCCACTGCCATGGTCTCTGGGCTCCTCCTTCCACTTCAGTTTTTATAAGCTTCATTTAATTATATTGACATTGTTTGAGCTTTTCTTTTTTGCTTTCTCCTTGCAGGTAAGTCCCCAGACTTCTGATTTTTGTTCTACGTGGAATAGCAAGAGCAAAATCAAGCTCAAGGAGTGTGACACCCGAAACGAGTGCGAGTCCTTATCCCACGTTCCTCATTTGAAGTTAAATGCCATAAAAATGGAAAAATAATGTCAGACGAAGAGACGGGAGAGACAGAAGAGTGGCGGGGAGAGGAGCAACAAATGCTGATAATAGAAAAGAGCACGAGGGGATATCTCTATGGAAAAGGACCTTCCCCTCCAGTGCCACGCATAAAGTTTCCACATAAATTTTCTCCGGAAAAAGCGAACCGTTGAGCATGCCATTGACTTTAAAGGCCACAAATGGGGGGGAAAGTCGTGGCGAGGTCAGGGTTCAGCATCAGCAGCAGCAGCAGCAATCCCCCCCCAGTCTTGTCCCATGCCCAAGTCAAGTCAAGCAATCAAAGGTGAAAAACTTTTGTGAACTATGCGAAGAGCACACAAAGTCAATATTAATATTCACTTAGTCGAGGAGTGGCTGCAGGGGGGGCTAGTGTAACACTCTGACTGACAATGGCCAGAACGAGGGAACCAGAGCCAGAAGCAGAACCAGAACCAGACATAGCGCTACAACTGTGGAAAAACCAGGCAGGAAAAACGGCAGGCAAATGCCAAGCAAATTGAAAATGCGACGAAAAACGTGAGATGCCGTCTCGCACTTGGGTCCCTCCCCCTCCTCCTCCTCCTCCCGCTTTGCCCACCATCCACTTCTTGAGCAACGTGCCCGAGTGCGTTTATTTTTATCAAGATTAGCATTTGCTCCTCATCACGGCATGGTCTGGGGCATGGTCTGTGGATCTGGGGTCTGTTATTGGATAGGCAAACACAATACAAAACGAAGCAAAAACGAAGAAAAAAAAGAAGAAAAAAAACTGCACAGGAGAACAGAGAGAATTCCCAGAGTTTGCACGCACAAATTGTCTCCTCGCTTGGGATGGGTAAGGGGGCAGAGCTGCCTTCAAAGATGAATTGTTTTTGTCACCACAGTGCAGTGGCATTGGCAGCTCCCAACCCCTCTCCTTTCCCTTTTTGGCAGCAACTTTTCAACGTTTGCAATGGATTTTGCCCAAAACCCCTTCATAGACTTTGTCTGCGTGGCGTGATTTGTCGACATCCATAATTAATGCAATTGTTTTTCGTTTGGCAGTTCCAAAATATTTGTTCTTGCAGGGTGTATCTTGATTTTGACCCAAAGCTAGAGATGCATCCTCAGTCTGTCTGTCCCTTAGAGTAGCTATAAATTCAGTCCCTATTCCCTATCTAGTTTTGTAGGACACTCAGTTTGTGCCATTACTTTTGTGGTAGTTTGTCGTGAGACTGTCAGCTTCTAGTTCAGAGTTTTTTATAGCAATAAAAGTTGCTTGAACACACACTGAATCTACATTTATCTAATGGAATGCATTCAATTGCCAAGGGATAATCCATAGAAAGCCCAGAAAAACTCTTAGAAAAAAAAACACTTCCACAACTCTATTCAGAAATTAATTCTTAAGCCCTTAAATTTAATACAATAAGCGCCCTTTAAGCCCAGTTCTCAGCAAAAACTCCACTCATTAAAAGAAAACAACCCCAACTCCAATCCCGAGTGAAAACTCTGCAAATAAAGTGCAGAACCCAAAAATTGTGGGCTGGGAAAATGAAAAACTTTGCGCACATGTGTTTCAGACTTTACGCTGGCCAGGAATTTTTATTTAATTTATATATGTATATATATATTTTTTTTTTGGCCAACACTTTGCTTGATTTGCCACAGAAAAAGAAGACGAGTGGCAGAGAGGAAAATGGCTTAATAACCAAGAACCGCGAGGCATGGGGCATGTGGCACATTCCCACAGAAAGAGAGAGAGAGAGACAGAGAGAGGAGCACACAGACTCCTCGCAATTGCAGACGCCGTGGCAGACGCCAGACGAGACGCCATGCGGCAAAATAAAAACCAAAATATAACAACAACAAAAAAGAGCCCAACACAAGTGAGGTATTTAAAAAAAAAAAATATATATATATATATGGTATTTTAATACCCTTTAATGGCAGAGGGTATTATGGTTTTGGGTTAGA